CGGATGAGAAGAAGGTGGTGGGAGCGAGGTCCAGGTGAGGTAGGCAGCCACGCGGAGTCGGGCTTCACTGCAGAGGACAGCAGCCTAGACCCCAAGCTTGAGAGCATCACCCTGGGGGAGAGTCATTGCTCACATTGCTTCAGGGGAGCACTGCCCCTAATGAGGGCGAGCTGGGGAGGCACTACCTGTCTGGAGACATCCACACAGGCCCGACACTGACCTGCCTACAGCAATTGTAAGTTAAGGATGAGAAGCTACTGTTTAACATTGGCTGGAGACACACGTGTATGGGGGTGGTGGGGGGAGTAGAGAGAAAAAGAGAAGACAGAGAGATTGATTGATTGATTGATTGATTGGTTGTGAGAGGGTAGGAGCAACTGACCAGGGAGGCGGCTGTCTTCTCAAAGCATGAAAAGAAACTGTGGGTTATCAAGTAGATAGGGACCAAGATAGCTTATTCTTGGTCAAATGTTGTCTATGCCTGATTATTCAGGTGGGTACCGGCCAACGTCTAAACCTCCTGGTCTACGGAAGCTTTACTGAGCTATGTCTGGAGTTTCCTTTAGCACGTCGGGATCACAGCTCAGTTTGTTCCATTTAAGTATTGGATACTTAATACTTTTAAAGCAGCTACTCTGTGCCCACTCCTGCCGGGTGATGTGGGATGTGAAAGAAATACTGGGTACAATCCCTGCCCTAGAGGAACGTATCAACTTGATGAAGAGACAAGACTCATACAGATGAAACAAACTTAGGGAAAAATAAAATACCGGTTTTGGAACGCACTCGAGGTTTAGGACCCAGGAGGGATGTGTGCTGTGGTGTCAGCAGCCAGTGGCTGCAGCTCCTGGTGAAAGCTGTGTCCCCGGGGTCTGGATGCCTTGAGGAGAAGCCCCAGGGGAATTTGCGGAGCCCATGCATTTGTGGGTGTATCCCCGTCACAGCACTTGGATTCAGTCTCATGACCGTGGCTGCTTGGAGACGCCCCATCGAGGACCTCGTGCTGGGGGGGACTGTCCTCTGGCTGCCTGTCTCGGGAGAAGTGAAACAACTTGTTAGGCTTGTTCCTGCCTGCAAAGGGCGGTAGCGTCATCCATCCTTCTGACCTCAGATGGTTGTACAACAGGAGGGATGGAGCGTGGAGGCCCTTGGGTAGAGCACTGTGTGGTTTACCACTGGCTGCAAAATCTATTTAGGCAAAAAGAAGTTGGAGTTAATACTCTTCACGCTCTGACACTGCAGTGCTGCCTGCTCTTGGGAATTCGTCTTTGTCCCAGTGTTCTCTCTCTCTCTGGGCTCCCCTGGTCTCTCCAGTCTGCTTTCCACCCCTTCTCCTTTCGTCACTCCCTGCTTGTTTCCAGACGCTTCCTCTGATCCCCTGGCTTCTGCAGTGATGGAAATGCACGAGCATTTCTCCCAAGTCTCGATCTCCCGCCCTGTCCTCACTCCTAAGCCCAGATCCTGATTGCTGTCTGCACGTCCTGCAGGCCTGCAGGTCGGCCTTGGCTTCCTCCGAGCCGTCCCAGGGAAAGGCATCGCCCTCACACGGTCAGCACTGACTCCTCTCCTTCCACTTCTGTGCCACCCATCACCGTCACCAGGGCGGCCACGTCTGAGAGTCTGTGATGCTGCTGGAACCCATCCTCTCGCAGCTATTCCCCCCTCTTGTTCTCGAGCCCACACCCTCCTTCACTCTCACCCCAACCAGTATTTTGAAACGTTTAGAATTAAACCTGTACTTATTTATCAATAGAACTCCACCTTTCCTATGCCCCAAAGAAATCTTCCTTGTAACTCTAACAAATGAGGTTTAAACAGAACGGCTTCCTTCTCTCTCTGCCCGGGCAGCCCTGCCCATCTCCTGCCCCACTCCTCCCCAACAGTGGTCCTGAGGCCCCCTGACACTAGGAACTCAAAGAACATGGCAGGAAAGCCACACCTACCCTCTTGTGACAGTTGATTATGACAGCCTCCTAAGCTATCTCTCTGTTCCTTCTCTGTCCAGGGCTGTTTCTGTAAAACCCAGACCCGACAAGGCTCAAAACCACCTTGATAACTGGTCACCATTCACAGAACAAAGGCTGAACTCCAGCAGATCCTCAGTCTGACCCCAAATCACCTTTTCTTCCCTCCCTCTGGGCCTGTGTGGTTGGGCCTGCGTGAACACTTGGAATTCCCCAGCCCTGCCGGCACCTTAAGCCTCCATACACTGCTGGTGGTGTTCCGTCTGCCAGGAACACCTTTCCCCATGCTTCTCTTCCTGAGGAAAGACTGTGTACTCCTTAGGTCTGGGTTAGATGTCGTCGCCTCCGCGAAACCTTTCTCGAACTTCCTTCTCATCAAACATAATGTGTCACTCCTTCCCTGTTCCTACAATTTCCTGTTTGCACTTAAGAAGAAAAAATACTTACCTCCTTCCATTATAGTCACACCAGCAGCAGGGACAATGTGCTCTTTATTTTCGAGTCTGCAGAGCACCCATCCCGGCACCAGTATACACTTGTTGAATAAACAAACAACTGAATGAATGAATGAATGAGTTTGACGTGCTCGTTAAAGCCCATGTGGGCACCAAGGCCTCATTCGCCTCCTCTTTCACTGGCTTATCATTCTTAAGAGGAGTGGGTCTCTCTGTACTTCAGCCTTTGCGGTGCCAGGTGGCTAAGGGAAAACCCGGCAGTTCTGAGAACACGGTGGTCGAGCTGTGTCTGGTTCCCTGTAAGTCACTCTTTCTCCATAACTCCGATCACTGCCCAGTCTCAGACCCTCCACTTCTGAACCTCAGCTAGAGGGATTTAAAAAGCGCTTTCCAGCATCCATTTAGGTAGCTGGCCTCCTGCCGGCCTTGGTTCCAAGATCCCATCCCCTCTTTTCCCCAGTTTTCACAAGTGGGCCGTGGTTGGCTCTCTCAAGCCTGACCTGTACCCCATCACTCAAGCACTGGAGCCCTTCCCTTGATGGGAGGGTTCCTGTGCTGAGCCCCAATTTCGTGACCAGGACTTTGCTTTCAGTGGCAAGATCTCCTTAGTGCCAACTTCTGAGTATTTCATGTTTGTTTAAACCTTAACATTTACCTTCAGTCCAGCTGTCAGTTACTCTCATCCCTCCTTCCCAGGTGCTGTCTGATTATCTGGTATCCACTGTCTGTCCTCATTTGCTCTTCACTCATGTCACACCTGCAGATGTGTTTGCCACCCCTTGGCCGTGGGGCATCCTAGCTCTGCCTCAGACAAGGGCATCACTCACCACACAGGTGAAAAGCCAGAGGGCTTCTACCCTCTCCTGCTCCCAGATAATGCACTTTTCTGCAGCTGCACGCTGTCATTCTGATCTTGATACCGATCCTGTCTCACCCGAGTTACCTCAGCTGCATCTTAATGAATCCCCCAAGTCCACTCTTCACCCCTCTGTAGCATTCTCCACACTTTAGCCAGAAAGATCTTTCAAGATGTAATACTGTTCATGTCACATCACAGTCCTGCTTAAAACCCTTCCTCATCTTACCTCGTTCTTAGGAATAAAGACCACATTTCTGAAGAATGTTAGAAAACACGGCCTACAAAGCCAGGGCTATCTGGCCCCAACGGCCTCCTCAGCTTCTTTTTCACTCACTAGCCAACATCCCCCTTCTTCTCATGCATACATCCTGCTTCCTCCCACCCCAGGGCCTTTGAACATGCCATTTCCTTTGTTTGGAACTCTGTTCTTGTCTTTCAGCTTAGAGCTCAAGCACCCCTTTTCCACAATGCCTACCTGTTGCTACCCTCGCTAGCTCTCACAGCTCCCTGAACTCCTCCTTTATAGAACTTCTCACAGTTTTTAATTATATAGTCACGTGATCATTCATTACTGTGTTTCCCTCTAGTGAGGTCCAAGGATAGGGACCATGTCCGTGTTGCTCACAATTTTATTGAGCCCTGTAATTAACATGGGGTCAGTGCCTCACGCATATTATTAGATGATGGGGATAACACCTGCATGATCCTACCTGACCAGTCCCACGGAAGTTTACCAGGTCTGTGTATAAGCATGTCCGAGGGATGATGCTCTGCCACTCAGCTCCTCCTAAGCCCGAGCATGGATACTGCCTCATAGAGGGTAAACCATGAGACAGATATACAACATGGGGCTCCTGAAATCCTTACGCAACATCCCATATTGTTTATTGAAAGTATTTGGATGTGCATGTTTATTACTTAGTTTTCTTGTTGTAGGGAATTTGACAGATACTCCATACCATTGCACTCTACATTAACTGCATTTCCTTGAATTCAGAGCCAGTAAAAAGTTCATCTCTTCATGTTAATTGTTTTCTTCTTTTAATAATCATGAGAATTCTATTCCCCATTGGATTTCTTTTTTTCTTTTTTTCTTTTCTTAGCTGCTGGGGTACTCTGTGCTAAATTTCACACTTAACATAGTAAAATTTCCTCTGCCCAGGTATCCTGTTGTATCTGTCCTCTGTTGTTTTTATTATTTATTTATTTGTTTTTGGCTGCTTTGGGTCTTCACTGCTGTGCGTGGGCTTTCTCTAGTTGCGGCGAGCGGGGGCTACTCTTCATTGCGGTACATGGGCTTCTCACTGCGGTGGCTTCTCTTGTTGCGGAGCATGAGCTCTAGGCGCGTAGGCTTCAGGAGTTGTGGCACGCAGGCTCTAGAGCGCAGGCTGAGTAGTTGTGGCGCACGGGCTTAGTTGCTCCACGGCATGTGGGATCTTCCTGGACCAGGGCTCGAACCTGTGTCCCCTGCATTGGCAGGCGGATTCTTAACCCCTACGCCGCCAGGGAAGTCCCGCTGTGGTTTTTAAAGTGATTTCTTTGTTGTTCTATTGTGTTATACTTAATTATTAAAGACAATTCAGATTCCTTTGTTAGGAACATATATATTTATATGTTATATTATATACATTTTTATTTATATTATATATTAGCTACATATGATGTATATATCATATTTAATACATATTACCAAGCCCTTATACCCCCTCTTTTATCCCATAGCGATAATCCATATTCTTCCTTTGGAGCCACGCTGGCGAGGGATGATGACAAGAATCTGTGGAGTGTGCCTCACGATGTGTCCCACACAGAGGCAGACGATGACAGGATCCTCTACAATTTGATCGTTGTTCGTAATCAACAGGCCAAAGATTCAGAGGTAAGCACCTTTTGAGATCTTGCTGTGCACAGGTGATAATGTCCAGTGAAAACCAGCAATAACGGAGAAGACCAGCTTAGAATAGAGGAAAGAATGAAGGATGAGATGTGTGAAACGTAGAGCAGGTCTTTTAGCAGCATCTAGTTGCTAATGTTAGCTGGTCTTGGTACACCTGTTTAATACACAGATAAGACTGATTTCTAATTGTTACTTTAATGATACAAATTACAGCAGTAGGGAAACAGCAAGGCAGTGCTGTTCAGATCGTGAAAATACTTTATGGTCTTAAATGGCTTAACCAGTCCATCTCTAATCTTTCCAACTGTTTAGCAAGCCACCATTAAAGATTCAGACTGAAGGTTGAGAGGTACTTTGCATCATCACTACTTCTGAATTAATGGGGCCTGAATTGTTTTTTTTTTCTCTGTTTGTATCTTCTTAAATTGTGCTTATGGATCAAACAGCGTATCTGCCATATTTGAGGTGATTTTTGTGATAAGGCTTGAAACCACTCTTTTACTCAAAGTCATTGATATGAGAACACCAGAATACTGAGAAGGAGACAACTTCATAAATGAAGAGAAAACAGCAAAAGGGATGATATTTTATTTTCTCCTTTATTCCAAACGTAGTATTATAGTACTATCATAATACAATATAATATTATGTGTATCATTTTCCAAGTAATACAAGCTAAGTTTTCTAACTTCTGTGTTCATCTGTTAGTTCTGAGTAGATGCCTATATTAGATATCACTTTATGTTTTCCTTTGTATCGTATAGTCATTGAGAAGAACAGAGACATTTAAAATCTCAGGCTTAGGCTATGAAGAAAAGCACCAGAGTGTGTATGTATGGGAGCAGGTTTATTGCGGGGGAATTGTTAACTGTTTTTCCCCCGAAAACATGCGTTAGCAGGAGATGATAACTTTAGAAGAGTCATGTGTCCCGGTCCTTTTATTCTGGTGTGACTTGGGATGCCTTTGGGGGGTTGGAGGTGGGCTGAGAGGTGGGGAATGACAGTTGCCTCTGATTCTTGAGGCCTGGGGTCGAAGAGTAGGCTGGAGAGTCCCGCAGTGGCTTTGATGAGCATCCTTTCTTGGGTGTGGAGTGCTAGTAGGGACAACTCCTGCTAGATATCCATCACAGCGCTTAAGTCAGAGGCATAACATATTAGTGGCCATGCACTGCGCTACCCCTGGCTTCCCCCCTGCTATCCCCTCCTCCACTGGTAACATTTAAAGGACATGATAAAGGCTGCTCAGGCCAGGAATAGCCATCCTGGCTGCCCTTCCTGAGCATATGGACAGGAATTCTTGCATGACCTTGTTTTCCCTTTAATGGGAAGCGCTAATCCTTACCCTGCTGTATTGGGCTGACCAGTTAGGGTTTCTGCTGGTGAGAATGGAACTAGTTCTTCTCTTTTCTTCCTTTTCTTTCTCCACTCTGTGCAAAGCTGTGATAGCAATAGGGAAGTGATATACATATATATAGCACATGTTTCTCTGTCTCCGCAGGGCCTCAGGCCAGATGTGAAAGGGGCTTGAAGGGTGAGCCTGGCAGCTGTCTCTGGAGGAGCTCCTGTCTCTCCTGAGCCTGAGCCTGGCAGCTGTCTCTGGAGGAGCTCCTGTCTCTCCGCCCTGTTTGTCTTTACTTTTGAAAAGGCAGTAGAGGAGGCAACGTGAGCTGCAGAGCGCTCTGAATAAGCATGGCTTCCACAGCAGCCACCGTGTCACTTCTGTGCTGCTCTTGGACCTGTGTGAAGGGCCTTCCAGAAGGCTTTTTCTTCTTCTTTTTTTTTTTTCTTATTAGCTGAAATTCAATCCTCTATTATTCTGGTACAGAAGAAATAAGTAAGCATAGAAGCAATGTCTTTTCTCCTATATTTTCCTCAATATGTTGGAAAAAACCTCTTCGTGATTTGAATACAAGTACACCACTACTTTGTCATCTAGGCCATTTAATGTTGTGTAACGTGTATATATACAGCACCTCACATTCATATTTAATGGAGTAGTGTACAACGAGTGAGTTCCAGATGTAGAAATGTTCTGTACGTAGTTTGACTGGTGAACTTCTCAGCGGCACGGATCATGTCTCTGTCTTACACTTTACCTCTACTTTAAATGGCTACAGGTCCCATTTTTGGGAACTTTTTATAACAGTGATTCTCAAACTTGAGCGTATATAAGAATTACTTTGAAAATAAGTTTCCTGGACCCCATCCCCAGAGATTTTTTTTTGAATTTTATTTTATTTTTTTGTACAGCAGGTTCTTATTAGCTATCTATTTTATACATATTAGTGTATATATGTCAATCCCAGTCTCCCAATTCATCCCGCCCTGAAGGCTTTTTCTTCTCCTTGCCTAAGAAATGAAGTCAAGTTTAACTCTAGAGGAACTCTGCAACCAGGACAGGCCGTCAGGTCAACAACATGAAGATGTGATGATGATGATTTTACATGAAATGTTATGAAATGTCTCTGTTCATGGTGCTTCCTTTTTTTTAAGGTGTAAAAAAAAAAAAACATATACATACACAAGGTATATATAAAATATATATTTTAAGGTATGTGTGTATACATACATACATAATATATATACATGGTTAAAAAATGTTTCATATATTTTCTTCCAAAAATTTGAAATGCATATAAAAGCATATATTAATATATTAATATATCTATTCATTTTCCCACAGATTGGATCATACATTACATATCATTCTGTACCCTGCTTTTTTTCCACTTAATAATATATTTTGGACATATTTTCACTTCAACATGTGTAGATTTACCTTAGTGGTTTTGGGGGCTCTCTTGTATTCTCTTGCATGAATTCACTATCATTTATTCAGCCAGTCCCTATTCATATTTAGGTTGATTCAGGTTTTTTGCTATTAGGAGCAGAAGCAATGCTACAGTGGGTATCCATATATACTTGTGTGCCCTGCCATTATTTTTTCAGGAGTAGAATTGCTGGATCAAAGAGTATGTGTGGGGCTTCCCTGGTGGCGCAGTGGTTGGGGGTCCTTCTGCCGATGCAGGGGATGCGGGTTCGTGCCCCAGTCCGGGAGGATCCCACATGCCGCAGAGCGGCTGGGCCCGTGAGCCATGGCCGCTGAGCCTGCGCGTCCGGAGCCTGTGCTCCGCAACGGGAGAGGCCACAACAGTGAGAGGACCGCGTACCGGAAAAAAAAAAAAAAAAAAAGAGTATGTGTGTATTTAAAATGTTGGAATTGTCACAGTGCTTCGTTCTTGGGGGAACCTAGGAAAAACACTTCAGGGTGCAAAACTCACTAGCATTGGGAGTTCATTCAGTGTTTAAGAGGAGCAGCTGCTAAGCTCCAGATAGCTGTTTGCCATGCTGAGGATGGAATTGCCAGAACTTTGGATTTTTAAGAGAAGCTAAAAATCCAAACTTACATATAAAATGTCCAGATTTTTAAATGATAGCTCACATTAAAAAAGTGTCAGCTAAACAAAATACGTTTATGGGCTACTGATATATAAGGAACATTTACAATAAGGACGACTACTACTTAATATTATTGTTATTTTGTTCAGTATGATTGAAAAATGAACTCACCATTGATTTAAAAGGTAGAAGGGGGAAGCTGGGGTTGTTTTAAGTTTGAACATTCATATTGCTTATTTTCCTTTTCATGCAGGGTAAAATTGGTACAAATTTTAATAAAACGGAGGATTTTAGTTTTGAGGGAAGAACAAATTCCACCTACTAAGGAACAAGAAACCCTAGATATTTTTGCGTGATACAATTTAGAAGCTCAAGCAAGGCGTTAAGGAAAACTGAACATTATGTTTTTTCTTGAGTAGCAATAGCGTGAAAGACCCAGGAACGTCCATATTTGGAATTCTATGAAAAATGAAGAGTAATTTCAAAACAGTGTGTGCACCGCCTACATTCCCTTTCTGAATCTGGAGCTGGTGGAGGAAGGGCTGCAAATATAGTTAAAGCTACATTCGCTGTGTTGTCCCAAATTGGAAAAAAAATCAGAAAAGAAGACATATAGGAGAGCAAATGATGAAGCAAAGGCATGAACTTAAAATTACTTGCAGTGTCAGAAAATAAAACAATAACATTATTTAATTCTAATATAATCCACTTTTATTTACACAAGCCTTCAAAAGCTTGAAGACTGTCAGCAGAATAACTGATGCATTTACAGATCTCCAAGTAGTGAAAAAATTTTGCTCTCGTCTTTGACTTTGTAAAATACTTTATGTTTAAGAAATAGTAAACATTGGGCTTCCCTGGTGGCACAGTGGTTGAGAGTCCGCCTGCCGATGCAGGGGACACGGGTTCGTGCCCCGGTCCGGGAAGATCCCACATGCCGCGGAGTGGCTGGGCCCGTGAGCCATGGACGCTGAGCCTGCGCGTCCGGAGCCTGTGCTCCGCAGCGGGAGAGGCCACAACAGTGAGAGGCCTGCGTACCGAAGAAATAGTAAACAACCTCAAAGTCATGTCACTACATCATTATCCTTATGTTCATTTTCATCAACGTAGTTGTACTTCACATAACACTCTGTTCTAGGGAGCTTAGTAATGGTTAATGAAATATCACTGTACCTTATTTACTTATTTTGTATAAATAATTCTAATCACACTGAACGATCTTGTCCTCCAAGATAATAGTGAAAACAGTGACAAGCACTGTTCAACCACTTGACATAGATTAATTAAATCCTCTACACGACAACTGTGAGGTGGGTGCCGTTATTATTTCTATTTGAAGCAACTTGTCCAAGGCCACACAGTTGAAGGTATGGAGTCAGGATTTGAATCTGGGCTTTATGAATCCAGAGACAAAATATATAATGAGCACCACGATTGAAATTGTTAGAGGGGACTAGATATTGTCTATGATCCCATGTAGCTTTCAAAATGCATGAACAGAATCTGTCCAAAGCCTATTTCTGTGACTTTTTGAAACCAATGATATGAAAGGGACTCTCACATCGGTGGAATAAGAACTATGT